AAGCACTAAGGCAGAGACTTGGACCTCAAGGAGCTACCCCTGGAGCAGAGGAAGAACATCAACCATAGTAGCGCCAGCCACACAACCAAACCCCCGGCCACAGGGTCGATTTTGCCTCCTGGGGGCCGTTGAGGACAGTAGAACTGCTCCCTGGGGGATCTCTGTGGGAGCAGAGCCTTGTCTTTCTCTTGAGAAGTGGTTGATGAGTTTAACCTTGCTGTCATCAGCCCAAAGATTCTGTGGCGGTGCCACCAGGGTGCCTGTAAGGCAGTGCATGAGCGGGAAAGTTGTTGCTGTGAGGTGCTATCAAGTTGGTTCGGGTCCATAGCAACCCCGTGCACAACAGAACAAGACGCTGCCCAGCTGGTCCTGCGCCATCCTCACCACGGTTCCCATGACTGAGCCCGTCACCGCAGCCACTGTGTCCATCCATCTCTCCAAGGGCCGTCCTCTCTCTCCCTGCCCCCTCCACTTTACCAAGCACGATGTCCTTCTCCAGGGACTGGTCTCTCCTGACAACAGTCCCAAAGTGTGAGATGAGAGTGGGACGTTGGCTATGAAAGGAATCCTTTTGATGGTGAATTGGATGCAAGTGACAGAGAAGAGAGTCTTACATCGGACAGGTGATAGACATCCGGGTTCAGCTCATCCACGGCCATCCCCTCAGTGCCCCATTCCCCATCCCGCTTCCTCTCTGGTCTTTTGGCTTCATCCCTCCCACTCCCCGAAGCCTCGGAACTTTGTTCTTGGGCCAGCACTGCCCTTCTGCTCTCTGATGGTGGATGATTCTGACTCAGAGGTGGAAGGTAAGGACCCTATTCTTGGGGGTCCCAACAGTCTCCCTCCACCAGGAAGCCCTGGTGTGACTCTGGGTCTGCTTCCTCTTTCTTCCATCCTCCCTGCCAAGGGCCGTCGGATCTTGGTTCCTGGAACGAAGCAGCAACAGTCTAGAAAGACAGCCGGTGAAGGGCCATGAGGTCTGGCACTGGGCATCCTGGTCAGTGGGAAGCCAGACTGCATTCTGGGAACTAGAATCCCACAGGCTCTTGGTTCACCTGGTGACTCCGCCGCCCTTCCCAGGTGTGGCCTTGGGAAAACCACAGACTCTTGCCGAGGCCTGTATTTCTGTAAAATGGGGAGAGCCTTGCAGCCTGTAGGGAGGGCTGCCTGGGTGGTCCGCACATGGGTTTCTCAGTTCTTAGTCCTGCCAGGAGGCCGTGGCACCTGCCGCTGGCAGGGCCTCATCGTCTAGGAAAGGGGCTGTCTGACACAAGAGCCCCTCTCCCTCCAGAGCGACCAGTTCCCTCCCGGTGTTGGATGGGGCGGGGCACTTACCTCTGAGGGTTGATTCCCCGCCAAGATCTCACTGCCCTTGAGTGGATCCCCATCCCGCACGGCCTTCTGGGACAGAGCAGTAGTGTCCCCGCGTTTCTGAGCCTGTAGCTCTTCGAAGGAGAAGACTGCCTCGTCTTTCTTCCTCGGAACGACCGGTGGCTTCTAATGGTTGGCCTTGTTCGTGGTGAGTCCCTCAATGTGCAGCCCACTGCGTCACCAGGGTCTCAAGAGCCTGCTGGTGAGCAGTTTCAAAATTCGGTCATCTTCCTGGCACGGAGGAGTCACCAAGACCCCGGCCCTGCGGGGTCTGTGTCGAGGGCAAGTGGCGGGTCGTGTGAGGTGGACAGCCGCTGGCCAGCATCCCTGCCTCCAGGAGGTCACCTGGGCCAGCTGCACAGCACGGCATCACAAGCGAGTGCCTGGCCGTGCCAATTCTCCCAGGGAGGAGACCCACGATGGAGAAGGCCTTGAGCCTCTGGCACCAAGAGACCCGGCCCACCGCAGAACAGCCGAGTCCTCTGGGCTCTGAGTTCCATCTCCTCAGTCCCTGCTCGGTGACCAGAGGATGGTCATCAGGCCTGCTTGGCGAGCAGTTGTGGGGGGAATGCAGGAGTGCTGGGATGCCCTACCCAACAATGGAGCCTCCCAGAATGCCATGGGGCCTCGGCATCCATGCTGACTCTTGCTGACAAAGAGCTTGTGTGCTGCGGGTTTGTCAAGAGATGCCGGTGGGACCCCCTCCCCCCCCATGTGGGGTTTTCTACACAACAGCACCATCCCCTCCCTAAGGCTGGGACAGGGACAGGTGGGGGGCATGGTGAGAACTTGGCTTCCAGCCCTGGGGTGACAGGAGATGACCTGGCTCTTGTTTAGGAGCTGGTACTAGCCCTGCAATTACAGCGCATCCCCCAGACACCAGCCTTCATGGGAGGGTGGCCACAGCTTCCATTTTAAGCCCATAATTGTCCACTGGGCCCCAGAGGCCCATCCTGACCCTCTGAGATTGCAGCGTGTACCCGGCTGAAACCAACCGCACCTCGACTGGTGTGTGTTGTCAAAATGCCACTTGCCTTGACCATGGAAATAGCCACCTGCAGGAGGACTCTAAAAAGACTCCCAGCTAGCAGAAGCAGGCCTGAGTTCAGAAAGCCCGGGCACAGCATCCAGGAGGGGCTGGACCACAGCTGTGGGGCCGCAGGCCTCAGCGGGGCCGGTCCCCACCCTGTCCCCTTGCGAAGCCTGTGTGACACCAGCTGTGTTTATTTGATGACTCTCAATGAACTTTTTCCTTACTGTTTTTTAATTAAAAGGGGGAGAAAAGCGAGTGGCGCTAGCCGCCCGGCCACCTTATTTACCGTTCTAATTTTAGTTTGGCCGCCAAGGGCAGGCTGGAGGTGGAAATTGCAGGCTTCCCATTATAGCCGAGAGCCTGGTGGTGGCCTGGACAGAGCCCCTCCATCCCACCGGATACGTCTCTTCCTGGGAAACCCAGAGGCCTCCAGGGAGAGAGGGCTGACGTGGACCCAGCAGGCGGGTCCTGGTCCTGCCTGGCTCACTGCCCAGAGTGTGTGCTCGGCAGTCCCAGGACCCCTCTGGGCTCCCAAGCCCCCACTTGTTCAGCCCATGCCCACGGTGGGGGGTGGGGTGGGGGGAGCGGCCCAGCTTTTCTGCAGGTGCTGCGAGGTTCCGCTGGCTTAATGACCTGGACACGCTGTCTGCGGTGAGATGCCACACTGCAGATGGCCACTGTGTCTTGCCGGCAGCAGGTCAGCGCTCCCTCACGGTTAGAGAACCGGTGAACGGTGGAAAAGCACCAAAGACCCTCAGACAAACAGTAGCCCAGGGGGTTTCCTCCTGGGTGATGGAGGGGCTCTGGAGGCAGCGCCAGGGCGGTGTGGAGGCAGCACTTCGCCCTCCTCTCGGCTCTTTCCACACGCCCCAGTGGCACAGCGGTTAAGTGATCTGCTGCCGGGTGAAAGGTTGGCAGTTTGAAACACCCCCCCCCACGCCCTCCCCAGTGGAGACTGGCTCTCACACAACTGACAGCCAGGAGGGCCCGTGGAGCGGCTCCACTCTGACTCATTGGGTCCCCTTGGGTCGTGGTTGACTGGGCAGCACAGCAGTGGGAGGGCGGCCTCTGGACACTGTACCGGACCCTCTGTGTGGTGGGACCCGGGTTGTCCTCAGTGAGTCTCCTCTCCTCTGTCTTCCGGGCACACATGGCCCGTCTCTCCTAGGATCCACAGGGGCCCAGGTGTGGCCTGTGGTGGCCGATCTCCTCCCTTTGCCCAAGCCATCGCCTCTGCCAGCTCCGCCTCAGTGCCTGCTCTCCTGCCGACGCAGCTGCGTCCTGTGCCCCAAGGCCTCCGGGGGCAGCACAGGGGGCATTCGGCATGACCTCATTTGAATCTTACTCCATCCCTTACCTTCGGCCCTGCCAGGGGGGTCATTGGAGCCACTCTGAGCTTCATTTCCTCATCTTCAGAGGGCGCCGTAGGTGGGGATTCACCTGGGGGCTTCCTGTAAAAAACTCTCAGTAGCATCGCCTGCCAGGAGGGTGATGCGTGGCGGGGGAGAAGCCCCTAAATGAGGTGGTCACCATGGCCCCAGCCCATCCCTCAGGGGATTCTGAAGCTGGGGTGGCCCTTCAAAGGTGTCCCCTCTAGAGGTAAAGGGGCCCAGCCTCTTTGTGCCATTGCGGTCAGGTGCTGGGGAGTCTGTCTGGGGCCTGGAGTGACGCCGAGTGACAGAATGGAGCTGCCCCTTGGGGTTTTCAACACTGTGATCTTCACAGGGATAGAGCTCCTGCCCTGCAGTCTCTGGATGGGCTCGGACCGCCAGTCTTCCCGTTACCAGCTAAGGGCTTCACCGGATGGCCCCTCTTCCTCAGTGGGTTTTGGATGCACGCTGTGTCTCAGGAGGGGAGGCAGCTTTCCAAGCCCAGAGGCAAATCCTGGAGAGGGTCTCCACTGGGATCCAGCAGCTGCTAACTTCCTAACAATGGGGAGATGGGAGCCTGCGTTCAGAGAGGAGGACTGGGCAGCCAAGGGCAGTCTCCACCACTTTTCTCTCTGGTGCGGTGAAGCGTCCATGAGGCCAGGGAGCATGGCTGGGTCTGCAATGGCCATGACCGAGTCATTGCTGTGAGGTGATGTCGAATCTGTTACAACCCTGTGCACGACCCGACACACCAGACGGAAACCCTGCCCAGTCCTGCGCCATCCACGCATTGGCTCCTATACCGTGTCCATCCATCTCCCCAAGGCCCTTCCTCACTTCTGCTGCCCCTCTACTCGCCCCTCATGGTGTCCTTCTCCAGGGGCTGGTCTCTCCTGACAACATGTCCAACGTCTCCGCATCCTTGTCTCTCATATTCTCACAACTATCGTATCGCGAGTTTCTTCTCAATGTCTCTCCCAGTTTGCTGTGGGCTGCTAGGGAAACAGCATGCTTTTAGTTTAGATATGGCTGCGATTTACTACGTTCTAACCCACGGCCTTGAGCGGAGGGCTTGTCTCCTAAGCAGCTTGTACTGTGTAACTGTAGACGGAGAGTGGGGGCATGTGGCCCTCGAGGAGGACGGGCCTGGGGCATTTGGCAGGGACATCTGTCTTCATCACTCCCCGGTGGACACTGTGCGTCATCCTCTCTGCCTTTTCTCCCAGTCTCCCTGGACGCCTGGCAGCCCCTGAGCCCCTCTTCTGCCATTGTGGACCCCTCTGTCCGGCACTTCGATGTTGCCCACGTCAGCACAGCTGCGGCCAGCGACTTCTCTGTGGCCCGAGACCTCTGTTTGCTGGGTAAGGGGCGCTTCCTCCTCTTAGAGGGGCGATAGACACAGGAACTCCCCCTCCCCCCAGGTGCTGCTCCAGATTCAGACCCCAGCACCCACATGGGTCCCCAGAGGAGCTGGGGTACTAGGCAGCAAAGGTTAACCTGGGGGATAGGTCATG